TTGATTTTTTTTAGCTTCTCAACTTATCTAGCTAATTATTTTTGTTTTTAACTTATTAACTTAATTAGTTAAAATTTGTATTGTTGTAACTTAACTTTTTATTGCTAATTATCATTGTCGTGTACTTAAGTTAATATTCGTTTCGTGTCATGCGTAATCAACTATAGACAATACTAATATTCATCGAATCTTTTTAAATTTTGTTAATTTATTTTCGAATCATATATCATAATAATCTAATTTTTTACACAGTGATAAACATCTCGGTAAATGTTTGTATACAACAAAATACTAAGGCAGATTATGACTTAAAAATATTTATTTATATTTTTTAACTCAGTTAAGTTAACTTTATTTTTCAATTTTTTTTTTTTTTTTTAAGTTTTATCTTAACTGAAGGTTATTTAATTGAATTAATTTAACATTCCACAGTAGATTATTTTCACTGACTTTCCCACCTTTGCAACCACAACAAAAAAAAACATACATCATTTTAAAATCAATACATTCATCGCTCCGCTCAGAATCTAAATGTGTTGTATTCAAAAATAAACACTTTCAAGTTTCATATTTTAAATCATAGTAACATAATGGCATACATTTCCATATCAATCTGCTAGATTCTATGTCGAGCCAAAAAAAATAATCAAATATCTACGTTTGAAAGTACTGATTTGAGTTTTACTTCAAGAAGATTTTTGAAAACATATTAGAATTTATTATGAAGTATATTTTGAATCATTCGAGTTTGAGTACGCGTCCTAAAATACTGACTTCAGTTTTACTCCGGTAGTCCGATATAATTTTGTAAACATATTATTTGAATTTATGTTGAAGTTTATTTTGAATCCTTCGGTAGCGAGCGGAGTAGCATTACGCTTTCGCATGTTAGCTTTCGAGTTCCAAAAAAATTCGTATTTATAGAAATTTCAATGGAGTAAAAATACATTTTTAAAACTTTTTTTATAACTCAAACTCGAATGATACTATATACTATGAAGTATATTTTGAATCAAGTATAATAATATAGTATATAGTATACTATATACTATGATAAATGATAATATACTATGAAGTATATTTTGAATCATTCGAGTTCGAGTTATAAAAAAACTTTTAAAAATGTATTTTTACTCCATTGATATTTTTATAAATACGCATTTTTTTCTAAATTTTAAGTGAGATTTATTCTTTTTATGAATAATATAAACTGAATATATAGCTCAAAGTATCCAAAGTTGACTTAACAACAGAATAAACTTTGTTTTCAAAATTATAGTTGGTTTAAAACTCAAGTCAGCATGCTGGAACTCGAGACCTAACATGCGAGAGCGTAATGCTACTCCGCTCGCTGTTGAAGGAATCAAAATAAACTTCAACAGAAATTCAAATATGTTTATAAAATTATATCAGATTATCGGAGTAAGACTGAAGTCAGTATTTTAGAACGCATATGGGTGTATTTTTCCCTAAAATACTGTACCTACCTAGCGTGGAATCCCTTAAAGTCTCAAAGTTTTGCTATAAATATGTATAGTAATTGATAGTAATTGATAGTAGCAATAGTATAGATAATATTAAATTATATTATACTATAAAACATTAGGTATTTATAGTTTATAATTGTACCTACCTCTTTTCTTTTTACAACATTATAATATTGTTATTAGATAATAATTCATATTTAATACTCTTCAGTGGTACACACTAAAAAATAAATAGGGGTAGCATATTGAATCAGTTACCTCTATATTGGATAATAGGCTATGGCTATAATATAGCCTATAATTATTCAATAGTTTATTTTTAATATTTTATACGTAGTAGAATTTTTATGATGCAAATTATTTGGTGCCAGGGGGTCCGCCTCCCAACCCACCAAAAAAATTAGGGGTAGCAGCTGCTAATTATTAATCTTATTTTTTTTTTCTGAACAGAATATTTATTTTTTATATAATTATTAAAAATCAATCGAATAAATGTTATAATATTATTCATTTTAAATGTAATACATTTTAATACACGCTATAATAATATTTAACAGTATCATACTTATATTAATTACATTAATTTATAATTTAAAATACATTACCTAAATGTTGTTTGTAAACGTATATTAGTGATACCACATGATATTGCATAATTACATATTATGATTAATGATTAATTATTTTAAATTAACTGTGAATGAGTCGCCGTATTATACTAATGGACTATAAAATATATCAATTATTTATGATATTATTTTTATAGATAATATGTTAATGGATCGATGTTTAAATTTGGATAATTAGTATTTAGTTTACTATAATTACTATAAGTATTGTTACTGTAGGTATAACTAATAAATCACTAATTCACTGTTTCAACTGGTAGTATATGCCTCTATGCCAGTTTGATGGTGCCAATATGAATTTCAAATGTATTCATTTGGAAATATTATAGTTTATTATTCATTCAAACTTAATTTTTAAAGTAGGTACTTGCAAGTTAAAAAAAAAAATTATAGACAATCTATAGTTTACCTACATATATTTTTTCCGAAATTAAACATATTAATATCAAACTCAAACAATTAATAATAAAATCTATTAAAAATAATTAAATACCGAACTATACTTTGATGTTTTTTCCAATAGGTATAACATGATTGAATATTTGAATATAATAGCTAACCGAGGGAGAGGTAGGCCAAAGAAAAAGTGGTTAGAGGTCAGGGTTATGATTAGGGAATATGTAGGCACGTGGCATGGTTGTAGAGATAATTATGGGTAGAGAGAGGTGGAAGACAAACATAAGAGTAGTTGACCCCCATGGCGTAGAATAAAGACGGCGAATACCTAAGAATTATCCATTTACAGGTATTATATTTAAATAAAATCACATAAGCCATAGGGTCAAAAAAAAGAAAAGAATTTCATAAAATCGAAATCTTTATAAACTCAACACACTGTGACCTATAGAATGTGACACAACCCGTTTACAAAAATACCTACAGTTTTCGATAGTTTTTATTATTCCGAATTCCGATCGAGTCTTTGGCACTAAGGATCACTCCACTGCTGTAAAATATTTTTCGATAGTTAATTTGTTCTGAAAATCAATGGCAAATGGTAAAAATATGAGTCTTAGTGTATGAAGAACAGCATTAATTAATGTTTAATAATAATTAAAATATGGGTGGAAATTTACACCATAGGATTGGCGTAATCAAGTAATTCCGGTAAAATCGATTAATTCATCAACAGAAAGTAAACAACATTTTCAAAAGTTAGGTACTGGGAGTTGTCAAAAATGAACTTTCTTAAGACGTATTGGCAGACCTCGTTACTGTGCAGTATTTTACAATTTATAATTGTCGGTGGTGGGATATCTCCTATGATATCTCTGTGCACGAAATGTCTGGAAATTGGAATTATATTACCGGTAGTCTATAGACTTACAGCATCTTACAAAGCAGTTCCTAAAAATTATAAATAATAATTATGATTTACCTATGCATAATATATATATATATAATGTTTGCCGAAAAACCGTAAGTAGGTATCCGTGCGTAAGTATTAGTTCATATACATACCTACTATAAACGTATTATTCGAAAACGGACTTGTTTAAAAAAAAATACTTTCTCTTCCAGCTATTATAGCTGTAGTAGGTGCCTATATAGGTATATTCGAACTAAATTTAATCGGTGTCACATCGTATTATTATTATATTATATTCGTCATCGTCACAATAACGTTGGTATATAGGTACAGTATTACATCCCAAATGTCGAATACACCTTATAAGTATCTCCATGACAAATCAAAATTTTAATATTTTAATTATTTTTGAAATGTATAAGTGGTATTATTCATCAGATTTTTTTTGATAATAGGCTAACTGTCGAAAAAAACTGCATTTAAGTATATTATATCGAACTGCAGCCACTGGCACGTGAGACACTTAGGGTGACACTGGACTATTGGCACACACTGTACTATCGTCTATCCGCATACCTAGGTACTGCAGAATGTCGCTTAAATATTAATGTGTATTAGAGTATTGCAAGTCCATAGCTGTTTTATAACCACGGGCCGTGGCGAATAAAACAAATACCTATACGGCGATACATATTATTATTATGTGTCATGAGACGCGACGATTTCACACGCGCGTAGCCGATGAGAAGTAGGAGACCACGGAGGACGCAGACCGCATATATTGGAATATCATAATATACACAATCGTCGCTAAGCACACATACCTCAGAGTCTATAATATACCAGCTATATAGTATCTATATACATTAAACTACTACTACTACCAATAATAATATAACGACGCGATAGGTATGTGAGTAAATATTAAACTAGGTATCCTTTCCATTGAATCCATCGCGGAGGTCTTCTTCTTCGCGCATCCAACCGGATGTCTTATCACCGTATGTACAAACGATATTATTATATATACATTGGTACCTCCTCCTATATATATATGTATATATTATAAATTATATATAACATACTTGCATCGCGTGTGTGTGTATGTGTGTTTATATAAAACCGTATAACCCACTTACCACCGTGTTCACGTGAAAGTATTCGGTCAAGGTCCCCACCGGGTACCATGGCCACGGTCGGTCAATCGGGTACCCGTCGTATACCTACCTACCGGCGGCGGCACGTATATTAATTTTCTATTCGTTTTATACTCGTCGATCTAAGCGTTCGGAGGGCATTCGTTTCGGACGATGCGATCGCGTTCGAACGTACTCTCATCACACTCGTAATATTAGGCATTATTATTATTATTATCGTTTTGTAGGCTGTAAACCGGCACCCAACATATATCATTCACTATAGTTGTCTTATAGCTGCGTCGACGGTCGTCACCGGCGTCTCATAGTAGTCGTTCCGGTTCTCTCGCGCCGTTCGGTCGACAAAATATAATATTATAGTTTTTAATAAAATACCTATCGCATTTCCGACGCGGCTTTTCGTGTCGCCACAAGGAAAATGTCACTCTCCACGTGCGGTCTAGCCGTTTTCGGGTGCGTCGCGGTATTAGTATTACAGGCCGCCGTCGATTCGACTGACGCTTTACCGACCACAGATCTATCGCTGCAGTCATCCACACCTCTGTCGCTGTCATCGCGAGACGTCGAAGACGAAGTACAAGGCACGAGTGCCCTGACCACTACGTCAACCGATGTAGTGGTTGGTGATTATGCGCTCAAGGATTTGGCTTTGGGTAAATATAAATTAACGGTTACTCCGATACGTATATTATAAGAGGTGTGGAACACGCACGGCAAATACGATGTGCTTGCACCAGTACTGTAATCGTATACATATCAAGTATATTAAGTACAATCATACCTATATAAACATATATATATATATATATATATCAATACTAAACACCATTCATAAGAGTAAATAAAATTAACTATTATTATTATTTGGATGGTGGGATTGAGAAATGTATATTTTACTGTTTTTGAAATGGGTTCATTAAATTTTCCAGAAATAAGGTGCCCAGTTCCTACTATAAATAATATATGTGTATACATTAAAATTATTTGTTCTATTATATCCTAATTTCTAATACCTGAGTTAAAATCGTTTGTTTTTAATTACAGTGGACAGTGAAAAAGGCCACGTTAAGCCTATCAAAAAAAAGAAACCTTTGGGCAAACACAAGAAGAAAAAGAATTCGTTCAAAGATAAATTCTTGCCTCTGCTTTTAATACCATTTGTTATTCAAACAATGCTCATACCGTTTTTCATAATGAAACTGAAATTGTTAGCTTTGAAAGCAATGGCAGTGGGCAAGTTCGCAATTCTGTTGATCGTTTTTAATATGATGCGTAATTGGTCACAAAATGCACACAGTACTTCGATTCGTGGTTCAACTGGGGTAATTATTAATACTGTCTGACACTTAATTACGTTTGACATAACTCCGTACAGGCCACATTAATTAAATAATTTAAATCGTGTTACAGGATTCAATGCTCATGGCTCAAAATTACGGTTTCAACGGTGTTCCGGAATTCGGAGCAATATTTAATGGCCGTTAGTAATTGACCGACTTTTTGTAATGCTTAATAATTTATTAAATTTATAATGTAATGCTCTCTGCACACGTTCGGCGCCGGGCGAAGTGCTATATTAACATAAGACTATTTACGAACAAAATCACCAATAATGTATTATATATTATATTAATAAATGTAATATCTCGTAAGGTACATTACCTACATTTTATTATATAGTATTTTATCATTAACCATGACTCAAAATTAGATTCAATTTATGTTATTTTGTGCCTTATACCTATATTATAATATTGTCATAATTATCATAAGTTATTGTAGAACTATTGTAGAACTATTATATAATATTATATTTTATATTTCGGATGTATATTACCACCATGTAAAACTATCAGTGTAAAATTAAAATTTTAAAATTATTATTTTGTTAATTTAATAAATTATAATACGAATAAATATAAACAGGAAGGTACGCAAGTATTTATGTCTGTTTGTTTACTGACTAATTATTATATAGAGCTATAGCTAGTAAGTACAATATATATTTTTGTATAAATTGTTGAAAATATACATTTTGAATCGGTTAGCGACTACCTACTTTTACAATATTACAATATTATACCTGTCTAGATGCCTAGTAGTTTGTATATCCATATTATAGCCTATATTCCCAATTGTCTTAACTCCAGTTGATGAGCTTATATTATATAGTTTATTTTAATAAAAAATAAATAATAATCAATTGTATTATAAATGATAAAAATGAGGCAATGATAAAACTAATAAAATTAATAGTATTTTAGATAAATGTTTACCTATTTATAATCTTAAATTATACGATACTAATTATTATTCTTGTGTCGTTTGTATACACGCATACGTAGATAAATAGTTGCCTGCAGTTGTACAAGAGCCACTATTATAAGTAGCTGTAATATAGCCAAGGTTTACCCAGAACTCTTCAAGTTCAAGTGACATACTAAAAAAATACCAAACATTTACGTTACATAGTATATATATTTAAAAAATATATTATTATAGTAATAGTTTTTAGTTTTAAAATTTAAATACACTTTAACAAACGTCCATTATATGATATACAGTATAGTATGGCTGAGAACTTAATGCCGAAGGTAAATAAGAGCCAATTTAGTACCTAAGCGCATTATATTATGTAAGTTTATAAAATATTTATGCACATTATAAGTTACTGTAAATTAAATATAATATAGGTAGCTTTAATATCCAATCATAACTATTTCAATAGTTAATAATATTAACTAAAATTACATGTCTAAACTATTTTAAGTAGATACTATTAGTGTCTAACCTGTCAATTTTTATTAAATAGATTATGGATAGCACTAAAGTAGTTACTGTACCTATATATATTTAAAATATAAAGAGCCATTTAAAGCATTATTTTAACGTGAACAAATACATCCAGAGACACGTTAAAAAATATTGGACAACTCGCTCAGCTGCATAGTAGGTGTCGAGTGTACCTCGTCATTGAGTAGGTCACTGTAATGGATGTGTTAAATTCGAATTCAATAATAAATATATAATAGCATACGAATAACAATATTATGAGTCAGCCTATATTAAATTATTACTTATATTTTATGATACATTTATATTGCTATTAATAAATTATCATAGTTATTTATTTTAATATTAGTAATATGGTAGGTTGAAATTATTATTGACAAAATATGTACATATTAACAATTATAATATTATACTAGGTAGCTTGGAAATCAATAACGATATATTTAAAGGTTACTGGTATGAATAGGATCAAGATAAAAAAAGCAGGTTAAGTGGATGTCGACCTGCTGTACAGTAAGTTACAAGTGGGTCATTGTATAATGAATTGTATTAAACTTGAATTCAATGATATTCTATCATTGTATAAGAAAAACTATTCTGAGAGGAGACGGTTTGTCAGTATGGATATTTTATATTGTCATTAATTATTACATAATAAAATAATAATAATATAATATAATATTATTATAATATATTATAGTAATAATGTAATACCATGTAAGTTGAATTAATATTATAATATTATTATTTTTTATTTGTTTCATGGTATTAAACAAAGCGTTAGAAATTAAAATTCAATTTTTAGTGGTTTTTCGTAACTTTTCGGTGGTTTTTACCGTGGCATTTAATAACTATTGAAAAAAATCGAAAAATGACCTCTTTAAAGTACCATCTTGATCCAATTTGTTAAAAGATAAGGTACTATATGTTGAAATCGAAGAACTCCTTCTGGTAGAAATTTTGTATACAGGATATATATATATAAAAAAAAAAAAAATAAATAAATAAATAAACACCATTTTAAAACCACTAGCTTCCTGGCTCCGTTCAGAATCTAATTGCTAGGTACCTATCTAAAATTAATCTAAATATTTTGAAAATTGTATTCTAAAAAATAAATTATAATATACGCAGTAGTGAAAAGTTTTTGATTCTGCTAGGAAAATTTAAATTGTATACATTTTTAACTATATAAATAGCTTTTTAACCTAGCCAAACGTTTTTTATCAACACTTTTTTAAAAACATAACAAAAATGGAATTGTGTAGGTACACAAAATTATAATTTATATAATAGTGGAATAATATATCAGTAGTTTCTGCAATTAATATTTTTTGAATAATAACAAAATAACAAAAATAGTTATTATCCAATGTCATCAAAATTTGAACTAAAATTTCTCATAAAAAAATATAATATATTATGCTAATTTTTTTTATTTCAAGTACCTAATCAAAATTTATTATGATTGTTGTATTATATTTTTAAATTGATATAAAATTAATACTCATATGAAATTTTAATGTAATGACTAGGGTTCGGATTTGAAGGCAAATGCCTTTCTTTTATTAATCATAATAGAAAAATAATTTTTATACAAAAATGTGTTTCATTTAATTTCTTAGAGGATGGATCTTTTTTTTTTTGCCTTTTTACTTATAAATGCCTTTTTGCCTTTTTTTTTTACCTTTTGTACTTATAAATGCCTATTTTGTGTTTAATTTTTCAGTTGATTTTAAAATTTTATACACAGCTTGCGTATTATCGTTACAAATGGGTTTATTATTCGCAATATTTATCGATATAGTCTAAACGAGTATTTGGTATGGCCATAAAATTACCAGTACACCTATTTAAAGATTAAGATATGTTCGTAATGCGTAGATATCGTTTTCGATGTACAAAAATATTTTAACCCCTAACCGTAACCGTTTTTCTGAAGACAGCTTATTAAAATACATGGTAGTCAATTTTTTTTTTATACCAACTAGTTTATTTTGCATTCAATTAACTGGTATAACTCAATTAAGTTAATATTTAAAATTGTTTTTAACTAATTCTTAGGACAAATCTGGTTAAAGAAAAAGGTACCTAATCTATTTATACAAAATAGCATAAACTTAATGTAGTTTAGTATTCATGCTCATTTTTAATTTGTATTTTTCTCAAAATGTGTGCATTTAAAAGTGTTTAAAAAATGTTCACTATTTTATTTTGTAGTATATTTATGAATTGCCTTTTTATATAAATTAAATGCCGTTTTTGCATTTTTTTACATTTTAAATGCTTTTTTTTATTGATTATGCCTTCAAATCCGACCCCTAGTAATGACTAATGGCACATATGCATGTATAGGACATCACAACTAGCACAGGTACTATTGTACCTACTATGTAGTGTGTCCACATTATAAAGACAGATAGATTAGCATAATAATTGTCATATTGATACACTACTAATATTATAGGCAATATGGTAAACCACATAGTACATTGTACATAGGTTAAATACCTTTATCTTGGACAGTTGAACCTTAGTGACTATAGTAGGTACCAAACTGTATTCGAAGAGAACGCCGTTTTATGTGGTGTTTGGGTGTTTCTGTTACGCCTGTTACATGTTACATATGCAAACATAATCTCTTTATTTATTTGACATTCCTAGAGAATATAGTTATATAGTTATTTTAAATAATAACAGTATAAACATATGAACCAAAGTTCCCTCTCCACACCCAATAGCCTATGCTGTCGCTGGTTATCCAATAAAAAAAAAGTTATGAGTAGCTATTAATCCCCGCTTGAGTTTTTATTTTATATCTACATTCAAGAAACCTGCCTATATGGTAAAGGCAAGTTACTGAGGAAAAATTCCAATAATTTCTATTTATCGAATATAGAACTATCACTCAGTGACCCAAATATTCTACAGTGTGGAAAAACATTTATAAAGTTCTTGTTTTGACCAGTTAAGATTTTGACCGTCAGAAACCCCGAACACGTTGATATAGCAATTTATTAACCATAAATTAAATTATTATTATTAGGTAGTAGTTACGTTATATTTAACGTTCGTGTATTCTGTCACTATTATCTTATATTGTCTGAACAGATACATATAAGGAGAAGTTGAAGATAAAACTTGTAGTACAAGTAAGGTATGGAATGCAGGTAAATGCATTACATTTTAGATTGTTATTACTTTCATTTATAATATAATTTATATTTTAATAACAATTTAATTTTTGACTGAAATTTATTAATGGTTTGTAATTTTTGTTAAAATTTTATATTTTTGTTTAACTTTTTTAGACAATTATAATTGTTCAAACATTTTTTCTTTGTACATTTTAGATTCTAAGTGGAGCGATGAATGTAATAATTTTACAATAATAATGTGTTCTTTCAAAAGTAAATAATGTCCAGTAGTTTTCTAAACAATATTGGGAAACACAAAAAAAGGGTATTCTAGTAACTCAAAAACAAACAATCGAAGAAACTTTAAATTTTCACCAAATTTCCAATACAGAATAACATTTAAAAAATATTTTGACTCATAAGCTATTTATAGCATATACAAATTTTGTCGCTCTGCTGTACAGTAGATTACAAGGGGGTCCCTGTATAATGGCTGCTATTAATTTTGAATTCAATGATATAATATCATTGTATAAGAAAAACGATTCTGAGTGG